AAAGAAACTCTATTAAACCTAAACTACAGACTCCAAAACAGTAAGAGGAGTTGTGAATTCACAAGTCCCAACCCACCCAATGAGTGACTCAGTGAACACTTTTCATTCACCAATACAAATTTGAAATAGCTAATAAGAACACATAAACTTCATAAGGCTTATTTCCATTATTGCTTGGTATACTGTATCTCCTACTTCTTCAGATCACTCAACTTGAGAAGAACTTTTTTTTTCAAATTTGAAAAAAAATCAATTATTCCCTCCTAGTTATCTTCAAAATCCAGCTTGTAAGGCTAAATGACATAGGTCAAAACCAGGAGCACTGCTGGAAGCACAAGAGAGCCCTCCAGTAGAATTTGAGGCTGAACATAAACATGTTTAATAAATCCAGTTTTATTGATTGTGGAAACAATGGGTCATCTGTTAGGACAGAAATAAGCGAATGAGAAGAGAATTCAAATATCTTTAAGATATTTACATACTTATGTATACTACCTATATAAAAGTGATATAAATAATATAAATTTTCTAAAACTCTTCTACAAAATTTACCTGCATTTGAAAGAATATTTATAATAGTTACTATATTCACATACACACACACAAAAAAGATATGGATAAACTCTGGCCTCAAGAAACTGTAAATTACAATCTAACAGTTCCTTTCTGTACTACTTCTCAATTTTAGTTGAGTGAAGTACTTTTGCATATATAATATAATCAACTAAGTGTAACTTGTCTTCCACTAGTGAAAGCTAACTTTGTTAAAAAAAAATCTATATAAATATATCATGCACAAGGGCTGGCCAGATAGCTCAGCAGACTAAAGCACCTGCTTAGGCAGAGCGCAGCAGCTGGGGTTCCATCTCTAGCTTGTTGTGCTGGCCCCGCCCCCGGGGCACTCTGAGAGGGCATTTGAGACTGAGTGTGGTGGCGCACACCTGTAATCCCAGTACCTGGGAGGCTGAAAACAGGAGAATCACTACAAGTCCAATCTGTGTAGTGAGACCCTGTACACCCTGTCTTAAATACATTTAAAATATATATATATGTATACATATATACATATATATTATATATATATGTATCATACACATAGTTATAACTCTTTGATGTGCAACCAAAAATTTTGGTTTTCTAAAATATTAGAAAACATTAAAAATAAAAATATTTATTGAATATTATGTGCCATGCCTATACAAACTTTATATAATACTATAGTATCTATTAACACTAGAACATAACAAAGTGCCAAATACTGCCCTATGCACATACATTAACCCATTTAATCCTTACAACTATTTTAGGTTCATTTTATAGACAGTAAAAGTGGAACAGAGATCTTCAATATCTTGCCAAAAGTCATACAGTTAGTAAATAGCAAAGCTTTGACACCTAGGAGTTTATACCCTTAACCACTTACTCAAATTGTCTCTCAACATCTAACACATTATGCATGATTTTAATAGAGGTTAATATTTAACAGATATATATCACTCATATACTTAATGATTCATGGTAGAAACATCTTTACCTAATATAATAATTCTGACACTTAAATTTAGATTGTTCTGAAAACACTCATATATACATACAAACTTTGAATCCACATCTTTCTCTATAATGGAGATTACATTCTACCCTTCAAAATAAAAGGAATGAAAGTCTCTGCCACCTCATTGGGTCCTATTTGTATAAAACAAAGCCACAGTATTTATATCAATAAAATCACAAGCAAGACTGAAAGGTTTCTTATGTATCTTAGAACATCTATCTCTCAATCTAATTAAATTTCCTATCAAATAAAATAAACGTCAAGTTCATTAAGTATAAGTTTTACCAGTTGCCTTTGTAAATAAGAGGTTAGATGTTTAGAAATACATCTCTCTCCCCCCCAAAAAAGATGGACATACCAGTATTTATTTCTATTTTTAAAAAGTTAAATGCTATGCCAGCCCCATAAAAGAAGTTGCTTAGCCTTTTGAACAAGCCACTTACTGCTAGTGATGATGTGCTAGCAAGGCGACTCACTGTGTGCTTCTCGCTGCTGGGAGGGCTTCTGCCCTCCACTGAGTTATAGGATGGCATGAGAGCCATCCGTAGGGCTCGTTTCGGAGTTTTGGAAAAAGAAAATGCTCTTGTAACCTAGAATTAAAAAGCAATAAAATTATTTAAACGTAGACAAATTTAATGTGGTTGATAAGAATATGCATAAAAAAGCCAAATGTCCTATTTTAGTCACACAATATGTGCCAGGATTTTCTTTAGCATACATCAGCAATAGAATATAATTGCAAGTTGCAATTCTATCTTGCATTTAGAAAGTACTAAAGTTCAGGACTGGCCAAATAGCTCAGCAGATTAAAGCACCTGCTTAGGCAGATGCAGGGGCTGGGGGTTTGATCTCCAGGCCTGCCGTGATGGCCCCACCCCAGGGGCGCACTGAGATGGTGATTGAGACTGGGCATGGTGGTGAGCGCCTCTAATCCCAGCACTTGGGAGGCTATAAAGAGGAGGATCATTACGAGTCCATTTTACCTAGTGAGATCCTGTAGACCCTGTACTAAATACAGGAAGGAAGGAAGGAAGGAAGGAAGGAAGGAAGGAAGGAGTAAACGTTCAATGGAAAAAAAAAGTAGAAGGCAAACAGCCTGACAGAAAAGAAATCTAGGTTCTTAGCCTATTCTGCCATAGCCTAGTTGTGAAATGCTTAATCCAAAACCACTTGAATCTTAATTGTCTTACTGAAAGGGCGAAGTTCCTTTGAATCCGCATTTAACATATTTATCTAGTATGTATCATACCATGTTAAATAATGGAAGAGATAAAAATAGTATAAAGCCCACAAGAGAAAGGAAACAAAACTAAATGTGTAAAACTATTATGGCTGCAGATTTCCTTTGGAACACTAAATTGTACTTCTACTTTAAAAAGCCTGGTTCCAACATACTTAAGAAGTGTTAAATAACTTCCAGGAGATACAGAATTATCAGCATGTGAAAACTAAATGATTTCCAGAGTCACAGTCAGGAATTGATTCTAAGTCTCTGGACTTAACCGTATTTCCCCTAACTGATAAATAAACCCTAGCATGTTTTTTTTTTTTTTTTTTTTTTTTTTTTTTTTTTTTTTGCCTGAAAAAGTCCTACACCCAAAATTAAGCCCCCACTATGGCTTCTAGACAGACAGTTAGGTGTAGCCATCGCAACATACAACAGATGTACTGAATTACAAAGTAATGTTAACATATAATACATAATACATAATTTTGGTATTAATAAATTCAATATGTTGTGTGTTATAAGGGACACACTTAAGGCCCTGTGTAAATTAAACGTTTTCTGAATTAGTCTTTTTTGGGGGGGGTATGAGGGTGCCAGGAATTAAACTCAGGGCCTTGTCTTTCTTGGGCAAGCACCGTGCAGCTGAGCTATATCCCACCCAGCCATTTTCTCAATTTTTGAGTCTACAATCTTTTGTCACTTTTGTGTGGGCCATCACTCTTAACTATCATTATTTTTGTTGCCATGTGTTTCTTGTAAGTCTTCAGTTAATGCTTGATTTAATGGAATCTTTGTGAATCCCAGCCTGAAAGAGGTTGTTACTTGGGTGAAGAATTCATGGAATAAAATCACTAACAGCTGTGTTGCCAGCGTATTACACACAGGCTACATGGACAAGAAGTGCTCCATTAGGAGAGTTCTATGGCAGGAGAGGAGAGATGGGGGTCGATGGCTCTACAGGAAATGGAGCCACAAGACATATGCAGGCTGGAACTCAGGGTTTGGAGTTATGACGATGTTCCAGATGAGGATGACATGACTGTATTTGAATAAATACAAATTTTTGTACCTGAATAAATGTAGATTATTGTACACGAAAAAATAAGACCATCCCCTAAAAAGAAACATTATTGAATCTTTTGGAGTAAAAATTAATATAAGACAGTCTTATTTTCAGGAAAAGAGTAATTATGTACCCTTTGGTGAAAAACAATGAATGCTCATCTACCTGGCTCTAAAATACCAATGGTACCTTTCTAATGCAGCCTAGTTCAGTCATTATAATAAGAAAGGGAAAGACAGCTAAGTAATAATTACTATGACAAATAAGTCACTGAACCACAACTATTATTTCTGTTGGTCATTTTCTAGAAACAAAAATAACTTTGTTGGAAAGACTGTCTTTATACTGGTTTAGCAATATGATAACGTAATTTGAAAAAACATTTCAGAAATACATCAAATAATTCCACTAAAACACACCTTTTTTGAAGTCTTTCTTATTGCTCTAGATGCTCTACTCAGTGTACTATCCATATCTTTTGTATTTACTTCAAAGGATTCTGGGTCAGCAGTGTACATGAGATTTTCCTGTTGAAAAATAAGTATTATTTTTAAATGAAAAATGACTCTCTAAAATCAAACCATTAAGCACCCACATACATATGAGTTTATAAATGAAGCTACTCAAGATTTGTGATATACTTAAAATACTTTCTACCCTAAAATATACTAGGATATTTAAGGATAGTAAGGAATGGCTTTCAGTACTTAAATCACTTGTTGCAAGGATTATGGACACCAAGGCCATAGAAAATAGTTGCCGATACAAAATCTTACTAACGACTCTAAAGTTAGCACCTCTGAAACTTGGCAGTCTTAAATCTTAAAGTCTGTTACAAAGCCAACAACAGACTTCCTGAAGCCAATTACAAATTAAAAGACCTACAGTTTCTTCTACTTTTTTCTTCCTCAATTTGCATCTTGAAGGTCTAACTCAGAGGTCCTGAACTTGTGATCAAGAGGCTCTTACAGTGAAAATGGATAAAAATCAGTACAAACTCTTGTGCGATCATGTAAAAAGTGCACTTTTCTGAGGCAAAGTTTCAAGATTGTATCACATTCCCAAAAGATTTAACATAACTCATACACGGCATAAACCAATGACCAAAGTTAACCTTAAAATGAGGCAATCAATCTGTAAGCAATTTAAAATATTACTTGTTCAAATTTTGTCTTGGCTTTCAGAAACAATCAAGACAAACATTTTTGCTATCTTATCATAAACAATTTTCACTTTAAATTCATAAAACTAGATTCCAAATTGTAAATTACCTCACTACTCTGGCACAATAATATTATGTCTTCAGAGCTGTCATTGTGTGGCTAGATGGAATTTCATGCAACTTTGTTAATGTTTTTCTGAAAATTTTCTCATATGTAAATAGTATGAAATACCTTTCATATCTAATCAGTACTATTACTCATAAGGCTAAAATAATGCAAAGAAGTACTATGTAATGAAATACTAAACCTCTATACAAATATAAGATATTAAATATTATATTCTAAACTTACAAATGCCTACTTTGGCTCTACACCACTAAGAACCACATATATATATATCACTGGTCTGATAAAGCGGCTCTAATTTTTGAAAGCAGCCTGTATGTCCACAAAAATGAATGAATAAAGAAAATATGGTATTACACATCCTAGAGTACTACTCTGCCATAAAGAAAAACTGGGGACACCTGAATCAGACACACAAGCTTTAATATCACATGGCTTCTCATACTAAAATCTCAAATTACAAATAAAAAGCAAAGCAATAAATAGGAAGTAGGGAAAGAAATTTTTCTCAGATGGGAAGATCAGGAGATGGAAGAGAAGATAGCAGTGAGGACAGAAAAGGGATGAAAAAAGGGAATTAGAATGAGAATATACAATTGCACATGAGGAACATAAGCCTTCCGTATGTTTGTAGTATGCTTATAATTTTTAAATGAAATCTATTCTGCATACTCCAGACTTTCTTCTCCATTTGATCCATTTCTATATGTTTCCTATCTAATCACAATTGAGAAACAATACTTGTGACTATATCTTTTAAAAGTAACTGAACTATTTTTTTTAATGTATTTAGTACAGGGTCTACAAGGTCTCACTGTGCAGATCTGACTTGCAGAGATCCTCCTGTTTTCAGCCTCCCAAGCACTGGGATTACAAGCGCCTGCCACCACGCCCACTTTCAATCACCCTCTCAGCACACTCAGGGGGCAGGCCCAGCACAGCACCCAGGGTATCGAACCCTGGCCTCTGTGCTCTGCCTAAGCAGGCACTTTAGTCCACTGAGCTATCTGGCTGGCCAACACAACAATTTTTTGAAGTTAAGAAAAATGGAAAGCACAAATTTAAAACAAAATATAAATCACAAATAACCAATTATTATTTACATTTAGCATTATTTCTTCTATTTTCCTACACATAAAATGCTTTTTGTTTTGAGATGAAGGGTTAAAATGAGGTCCTGCTATGCCCACCCGGACTAGCTCCAGCTTGCTTCATTTCAGCTCCCATTCCCCTTATGGTTTGAGCCAAGTTGTCAGACCACCCTCACTCATGTGATCGCCCTGTCCCACCCTCCCAGCTAGCCAGGATGAGTGCTGTGAACACCATACTTGGCTTAGGCTACATAACCTTTGAGGACAACAGTCTATCTGGGTATTTCATTGTTGATTAAAATATTATGTTGGACATGACTGTATCTTCCGTTTTACCAACTTAAATTTATTCACATTACAATTTTCAGTTTTGACTTCAATTTTATCTATCAATAAATTACATACTGAAAAATTTGGTAAAAATTTTTATATACATAAGATACAAAGGCTACCCTAGAAAAAATTCAAATCTATTTCATTACTATGTCTTATTGTTAAAGTATAATTTTTCAGTGCTCATTTGAATTGGTCAATGTACAGCATTGCTTGAAAAACTGAAAGCTGAAAAATCCAATGGAATTAGCTGGAAAATAATCAGAAAAAAAATTAATCTGAAGTGATTTTAAAAAATTAACATACATAATCAAAGATCTACCTACTTACAAAATAATCTAGAAACAGCTGAAATACTCACTTCATGACAGTGTTAGAGAGAAAATTGCCCAGGGGAAAAAGTAATAAATGTACACTACCAAAAACTTTATTCTTATATTTCTGGAAAGATAAATCTAAAAGGTTATGTTCCTGAAAAGATAAGAGTAGATCGAGCAGGGGTATGTGACTTTTATTGCATAGCACTATGTCCTTGTTTTTTTCTGATACGCATGTATTATTTTTCACTGTAACAGAGGGTCTATATTATCAGCATGAATGAAATAGAGGACAATAGCAGCATAAAACTAAATATTGCTAGCAAATATACTCTGAATACAATATTTATAAAATATTTAGATGAAAAATATACTAATGTATGTAGTAAAACTAAAGTCTATGCTTAACTTCGATAAAAAAACTCTTTATAACTAAAGGCCCCCTAAAAGTTAAAAACTGTTGCTATGAAAGAAAAGTTTGTTTAAGTTTATTCTTGGTGTTTCCTACTGTCATCGTAGCTATCACCATATGATAAAAAGGGAACACATGGGTTCACACTTTCCTGAATTGACAAATCACTTCTGGTTTAGGAGATGGGAAGACAGATACAAGCACTTTTACATTCCCACAGGGCTCCAGGTCTACAATGACTAAAGGAGGAAATATCTAGATGGCTTGCTAGTGGCTAAAATGACCGTGTCTGTAGTTTTTGCCAACATATAAGGATGACAGTTCCTTACCTCTCTTTGCACAAAGTAAGTTATAGGCAAAGTGCAAAGTGGGGAGAACTTATCAGTAATCTTAGGCTTCTCTTTGTTATATTCTTTCTCAATAACTTTCTTCCTCCCTTCGAAAGAAAAAAAAAACTTTCTACTTTTAGTCCTCTAAATCTGTAAATAAAAATTTATAGCACAGCCAAAACTCATTTTTATAACAATATATAATCTAAAAAGAATTTTTATGTATTCAAAGTTAGTCAAGCATTAAAGAAGTTTTAGAAAGACAAAAAGCTTTTAATCTGTCCCAAATTCACATGTACCTAAGACAACTTCTAAAGATACAAGTTGAAAGTTAGGAAGTAGAAATTAATCTTTGATGTTTATCTCAATGGGTAGATTAATTACTGAGTATCAGTTACAGATTTTATAACTATTCATGGGTTTCACTCACAGAAAATTATCTAGTATTGCTCATATGGTAAGACCATGAGCTCATCTGTATGTGAGGTATCAGAACCTTTCTGTTCCCTTGTTCCTAACCGCAAGGCTATTATGTGTCCTCCTGCCACTTGACTTCATCTGTGTCTCAGTGACGTCTTCATAAAGCTTAGAGCTTCTGATTCAGCCAAATTAATCAGCAGTATCAATAACAGTCATCTCTATAACAATTTACTACAGACTGAACATCCCTAAAACAAAATATAACTTTTTGAATATTCATGACACCATTAGAAATTTTCACATCTGACCTCATATAACAAGTCACAGTCAAAATATAGGAACACTAAAAATACTGTATAAAATTACTTTTGAGCTGTGTATGTAATGTATATGGGTTCTGAGTTTAAACTGGATCCCCTCCCAAATTTATCTAATTATGTATGTGGAAATATTAAAAAATCTGAAAAGATCTGAAATCCAAAACATTTGTAATCCAACAAACCCGAGATTAAAAAAAAAACACTTTTTTTTGAGACAGGGTCTCACTATGCAGTTCATACTGGCCTTGTGGTCACTTTTATACTCCCCAGGCTGGTCTTGAACTGGAAGAGATCCTGCTGGTTCAACCTCCCAAATGCTGGGAGTACAGGCATGTGCCACCATGCTTGATTCCAGGGCTGCACAGTGTGTGCCCACATCCAGGGCTAAGACAGCCCGCCCGGGGACCCAGGGCTGAGACCGCATGGTATGTGGGGCCAGGAATCAAACTTGGGTCCTTGTGCTTGCCAGGTAGGTGCTTATGCCTCTGAGCTACCTCTCTGGCCCCTACAAAACCACTTTTAAACTAACCAAATTAAGGAGAGTTATCATTTGTTACATTCATTGGCTAATAAAAATATACTTCTGGCCAGAGTGATAGCTCAGCAATCTAAGCACCTGTCTGATAAGCGCAAGGACCCAGGTTCAATCCTTGGTACCGATATGCTGGCCACAGAGACCAGGCATGTTGGTACACACCTGTAATCCCAGCACCAGGGAGGATAAGACAGGAGGATCACTATCGGTCTGAGCTTTGTAGTGAGACCCTGTACTAAATAAATAAATGATAAACACACACACACACACACACCAGAAAAATGATAAACACACACACACACACACACACACACACACACACACACACACACACCAGAAATCTGTAATGACCTCAACAATGTACTACCTGACTTCAGGCACTATAAAATCTTAGCACATGAACAACATAAAGTTTACATGTTAAAAAGAGACTGAAAATGTATGCACTGAAGTACTGAGAGATACGATTTTCAACAAATTC